CAGTGCCCTCTCCCCACCCCCAGTGCCTAATCCCTCCCTCTCTCCCCTCTGCTCCCAGTGCCCCCTCTGCCCCCGGAGGCTCAGCGGCCATGGCTCACGGACCCAGCTGCTCCGCGGCACGTGGGATCTCCCCGGACCGGGGCACAAACCCGCGTCCCCTGCATTGGCAGGTGGACTCTCAACCACTGCGCCACCAGGGAAGCCCCCGGAGCGTGTTTTTTCATGGTATTATTTATATGGCGTTTTTTATACTTGTCTACCTGCCTCCCCAAAAGCAGAGAACGGGCTATTTCTCTCGATTTCCCAGGCACTCGATCGAAGGCCTACCCCCACCATGGATGCTCAGGTCACGTTGTTGGATGAAGGAATAAATGAGTATTGAAGACCAGAGAGAGACGGCTCAGTGATGCCCTTTCCTTACTCCTGTCCAGTGCTCCTTGCTCTGGGGTCTGACAAGCCGTTTACTAGCCCCTGATGTCTACGCCATGACTGAAGGTCACTCTGCAGGGTCAGCTGGACCCCGCTGCTGGGACAGGATGTCTTTTGCCAGCCTCAGCCCCAATGCCATCCCCAATGCCTGCACTTGGCCATGACGTATGTAGTAACAGGACTGTCGCCCGCGTGGGGCATCCTGCCTTGAAGAAACTGATTGAAACCCCCTGATGGGGCAGGTACACTTACCCTCAGTTTAAGGAGAGAGGGTCAGGCAGGCCACACACCTAGTCTCAGTTTCCCAGCTGAGGTGGAGCCCCAGGATTTGAACATACTCCTGGCTGATGCCACAGTCTACATTCATTCTATGAAGCCATGATTTCACTACATTGTCTTATATATTTACAAAGTGCTACCTTACCCCCAATCTCTCTTGCATCCTTGCAGCACGTCAGGTATAAAGGTAGGTAGGGCAGGGATCGTCAGCCCACTTTAAGGAGGAGGGGCTTTATGCTCAGAGAAGCAGAGTGACTCACACGAGAGCACGCAGGCAGAGCTGGGATCCAACCGCACTCCAGACAAGGGACAGAGGTTCAGACAGGCTTAGGTACTTGCCCACGGCTCAGAGCTAGCGAGCCACTGGTTTTTTGTTTGTTTCCTTTTGGTTTTGTTTTTGTAAAAGGGCTGAAAAGAATATGCAAGTATCCCCCACTAGAGTGGCGTTCCCCACTGCAGAGAGAGCTCCAGAAGGAGATTTCCTAATGGAGCAGGGGGCCGCCGGGCCACTGAGGCTGACCCCAAGGCAATTTGGCCCTGCTGAAATATCAATACTAGATTATCTGCCTGACGAACATGGTCTCAAATGTGGGGGAAAGGATGAGGTCACAGGGGTCTATCTGTGGTCCCCAAACAGGAGCGTCAGAAAGGGCAGGAGTGAGTTCTGGGAGGAGGGGAGCTGGGGAAGCCCCCAGCCTTTTGCTGAGATGCCTTCCTGAGAAGACTCTGGAAGCACCCGCAGAGCTGCTTTTGTTCCCAAGTCTCTGGAGCTTGCTGGCCGGGTTCCGGGGCTGTGTGTGCAGCCCTCACTCAGCCCGGCCCCTTAAGCCTGCGTGTGCAGGAGTCGTAAGCCTGGACCATGTGGGGCAGTGCCAGCCCTGCTTCGAGACGTCTGTGGGGTAAATGTTTGCTGCTTTTGTCTGGAAGCAAAACCCTTAGCCACTGTTTCTCCAGCCTCCATGGAAATTAAAGCCAGGAAGCTAAGCAGTGGGTGATTATGGGGTTCAACTTGCTTATTAACAGCCCACAAAGGATTATCATGGGGCTTCTAGGAGAAGCCCACAGAGGCTTGGAAGAGGGCTGCTTCCTGGCTCCGGGCACTGCTCTCTGAAAACACAATCTTCTCCAGGCCGAACGGCTCTGCCTAGCCGGCTGGGGGAGCCCGGGCCCCCACCCCCGACCCCGCCACCAACACACAGGATGTTCAAAGGAGCCAACGGCGAGGGGGCTGGTGGTGAGTATGGGGCAGGAGGGGGCCCAGCCCTTTGTGATCTGTGCCTGCAGGGGGGCCTGGAATGAGTAGGGTGAGAAAATTGCCTACCACTTTAGTACAGAGTTCAGGTATTTACAACTGTCTCCTTGGAGAGGGAGACCATTTAGGTAAGTTGTAAGAACAGTGTTGGACAGGGGTCAGCAAACCTGCCCGTTGCCCATTTTTATAAATAAAGTTTTATTGGACACAGTCACACCTATTCCTTTCCAGATTGCCTGGGGCTGCTTTCAAGCTATGTCAGCAGAGTTGAGTAGCTGAGCAGAGACTCTTTGGCCCACAAAGCCTAAAATATTTTCTGTCTAGCCCCTTACAAAGTTTGCTCACCCCTAGGTAGGGGAAAGAGTATGAATTTCAGAGTTGACTAGATATGGGTTGAAATGCCACTTTTACTTTTGTTCTGTATAACTTTGGACGTGTTGCTTCCCCTCTGAACCTCACGCTTTCCATTTGTAAAGTAGGGATGACAATCTGTTTAACACATGCTTACAATATCGTGTTTACTGTGCATCCGGCACTGTTCTAAGTGCTTTGCGAGCATTAACTCATTTAATGCTTACAACAGCTCTGTGATTTTGGCTCCCTTATGACTGTATCACTCTACCGGGGGCGGGGGGGGAGTGGAGAGCTGGAGGGGTTAAGTAGCTAACCCAGGACCCCACAATGCTGGGATTTTGAACACAGGCGATATGGCCCCAGAAGCTGCCTTCTTAAATGGCCATTGTGAAGACTGAGAAGTAATGGATGAGCAGAACTGAGCCACAGGGGCTGGGATGCAGTAGGGACTCTATATCTGTTAGTTCACTCTTGCCCTCATCCTCTTTGCCAAATTGTTTGGCTCCGCACCTCTGTCCAGGATAAGGGTCCCGGTCCCTTTGGATTGCAGTTTCTGAGGTCATCACATCCCTCCTGCCTTTGCCAAAGCCCAGCATCACAAACGCTGCTCTGGTTTCCTCGACGCGCTCCCCCTCTCCCTTCCTGCCGCTGTCTCCCTCCCACTGTTTAGTTAATAATAACATATCATGTTCTGTCTCAGATGCATATCAGTTGTGTGTAATTATTTATGGAGAAATAGACAGATGATTCCCTGCTTGGACCGTTTTCACAGGCAGCCATACCTATCACTTAGCATCCCTCTCTCCCCTCGACTAATAACACTGTCCACTTTAGATCCTGGGGTCTTGATTTACTAGGTAATTTGTTTCTTCTCTGTGGCTTGGGCCTGCCTGTCATCAATATAATAGAATGATGGAAGTGCAAGCTATAGACACCAGACATTAAAAACTAGGCAAATATTACCCATTTCAGCTCCTTGGCCAGCCAGAGCCCATCCTCTGCTCACTGGGGTAGAGGAAAAAGATTACAGAGGGACACCTGGAGCCCGATTCTCACAAAATGACTCTTTGACAATTGGGCTGGTGCCTCTGCTATTATGTGCTTTTGGGAAAATGTCCAGGAAAACACGTCCAAACACACGTATATGTGTGCACCCACGCGTGCGTGCATACACCCACACAGTAAAGGAATGTAAGCTCCCTTCCAAAGAGACTGAATATGCCGAGGAGGGAAAAGGACTGAACTGGCGGCCAGGAGGCCTGGCTTCCCACCCCAGCTTTGCCACACTATCCACCTGGAGGGGCAAGGGCAAGTCACCTCATCTCTCTGGGCCTGAATTGCCTCATTTGTCAGATGAGGAGTTGGCCTTCCAGCCTTAACCTGCTGAGATGAAGCCAAGGTTACGTGGCATGTCAGAGGCGGAGTTGGAAACTGAACCTTTGCTGTTTGATTCCAAGATTGGTGCTTTGAATACTTCACCATGCCTTTCCCATCAATCATAATTGTAATCCAAAACGATTAGTCTCTTCACCATCAATAGCCGTATCACAACCACTGAAATAATATCACCAATAAATGATCTTTAATTGCACCATCAAGAGAATCATCAATGCCATTAGCTCCAGGAGCTCCTCACCATCATCATGCTCATTTCAATGGCTGTTTTCTATATGCCACGTTCCATATGCAGGATGTGATTTCATCCTCCCAGCAATGCTAGAAAATAGGCACCGTTATAATTATCCTCATTTAATAGATGAGGCAACCGAGGCCCAAAGCGGCACACAGTAGTAAATGCCAGACTTTGGATTTGAACTAGGGTAGGTTTGGCTCCAAAATCAGCTTTCAGCCACCATTCTATGTACCAACAGCATCGTTATCACAAGTATTCTCATCATGGTCAACATTACCGTTATCTTCTACATCAGCATCACTGAATCACCAGCATAATCTTTTTTTTTTTTTTTGCGGTACGCGGGCCTCTCACTGTTGTGGCCTCTCCCGCTGCGGAGCACAGGCTCCGGACGCGCAGGCTCAGCGGCCATGGCTCACGGGCCCAGCCGCTCCGCGGCATGTGGGATCTTCCCGGACCGGGGCACGAACCCGCGTCCCCTGCATCGGCAGGCGGACTCCCAACCACTGCGCCACCAGGGAAGCCCATCCCAGCATCATCTTTTTAATCACTTCCAATATCATCACCAGAATCAACATTATTGCTAATGTTGATATCACCAATATCAGAATCGATATTGCCAATCTCATTATCGCCAATGTTGTTTTAATATAAACGCCATCATTAATCGTTAGCAATACTGTCACTGTCACCATCCATATAGTCCATACCGATGTCATAAATGATACGTATCAGTACCATCAAAATTGCCTTTTAGGAGTCATTGCTAATACAGACATCACTGCTAACCTCATTATGGTCACTAGTAATATTATGGTCACTGTCACCAACCCAGTCCACATCCACATCATAATCAATATTGTAACAAGCAGGATTACCTGAGCCATCACTAACCTCACCATGCACAGAGAATTACTGAGATTGCCAACATTTCCCATAGCATCATCACGAACATACATCACCACCCCCAGTTCACCATCGTTGTCCCAATACAACCGAGATAAAAAGCACACGTCTCCAATGAAGTGGACATCACAGATGTCAGTCTACTTACCATTGTGATCACCATAATCTACTGAGTTCCTGCTTGTGAGTTGGACTGCGTTAGGTCTTTTCTCCCCTGGAAGTCTTCAGCTATCCTGTGAGAGATGTGGAACGCGTAAGTATTGGACTCAGTGTCACACTGCCCGTGCAGACGTTGCCAGGGTCATCAGGAATCTTCCCAGTTCCCCAGTGGGTTTCCATCTCCTGTTTCCTTGCGCTTCTACTGACCATCGTTTTAATCTCAGTTATAACATTCATAGCCCATCTCTTGTCCCAGTTGTGTGTGTGTCTGTCTCCTTCCCTAGCATATAAGTTCCTGGAGGTGGGGCCGGGTTTTTTTCAAACCCCTTGGGGATTTAAAGGGCAATGTTGGCTGGTCCACAAGAATCACGTGATGAGGGGTAAAGAACATGAGACTGAAAACCAAGATATCTAGAATTTAGCCAGGATTGTCCCTAACTAACCGTGCAACCTTGGATCATCCATTTCCCCTCCCTCCCTCTCTACCTTTCTCCATCTCCAAACCTAAGGGTCATCCCTTTTCCACATCCAAGTTTTGCGGCTCTGCCTTCCAAACCGCCCATTTCTCACCCCTCCTCTGCTGCCCCTCTAACGCAGGCCCACATCTCTAGCTTGAGCCACTGTGGTTATCTCTTAACTGGTCTTTCTGCTTCCACTCTGCCCCATGTGGGACAGGAGTGCTCTTTTAAAATTAGTTCATATTAGTCCCTTACTCCACCACATGGCTTCGTCCTTCACTTACAGCAACATGCAGACGGCTTCTGTGGTCTGCAGTGGACACGGTCTGGCCCCTGGCCCCCTCTCCTCCCTCACCTCATGCATCATTACCTCCCCCCCTCCCCCCCCCACCCCACACGCCGTTCCTAGACACATCGTTCTTCTCGTGGCATCCTGAAAACCCTGACCTTGTTTCTGATGCGAGGCCTTCACACTGGCTGGCTCCTCTGCCTGGAAAGTGCTTTCCCTGGACCCCTACATGGCTGGCCCCATCACCTCATTCAGTTCTCCAACCAAGTGTCTGCATCACAGAGGGGCTTCCCAGGAGCACCCTCTGTGAAACAGATCCCCTCTAGCAGGCATTCTCGTCTCACTGAAGCCTCCCACCCAACATATATTTATTGATTGTCTGCTACAGGGTTTCTCAGCTTCAGCGCTGTCGGCGCTTTGGACTGGGGTGCTCTGTGCTGTGGGGTGGGAGGGACTGTCTCGTGAACTGTAAGGTGTGGAGTAGCACCCCTGGCCCATGCTCACCAGATGCCCGTAGCACCCCTTCCCAACTGTGACAACTAAAAATGTCTGCAGACATTGTCAAGTGTCCCCTGGGGGCAAACTTACTCCTGGTTGGGAACCACACTCTTCTGAAAGAGGATTCACACAGGAGTGAATAAAACAGATCCCACCACTGGCATTCCCCTCTCCCAATCCCCTGGCCTTCGTGGGAGGAGATGGACAATGAATGTGAAGCTAGAAAGTGACAAGCGCTATGGGAGAAAAAAATACAGCAGGTCATGGGTGCTGGGGGTGGGGCGTAGATTGGGGCCCTGGAGAAAAATGAACAGGCTGGTGGAGGGTATCAGGCGTGGGCTGTCTCCATCCTTCTGGTCCCAGTCTCTCTCCCTCCCGCCTTGCCCCATTCAAGGAGGCAGCAACCAGCAGCATCAAACCCGCAGGGACTCAGGAAGTGTTGTCAGCCTAGATAATTTCTCCAGAGCCACTGATCCCTTCTGCCGAGTGTGATAAACCCTATTTCATAAAGAAGACATGAATGGCTGTAATCAGATACAATGTTTGCAACGTTGAACAAAATGAGCAAAAGAAAAAAATATGCAGCCAGGCTATAATTATGGGTGTAATATTTCAGCCCATTAGCAAAAAATATCTCAGAAACCTGCTGCCCGCCTTCTCAGCTAAAAAATTGGATACTAAGCTGGTGAATGCAAACAGAGAGAACAGAGCACTGAAGCAGAGGCCTAATTAATTGCATATACAATTTTTTTTTTTTTTTTTGGCTGGTAGCGGCTTCTGACAATTCTGGGTCTTTTACTGCAACAAATAAAAAGAGAGATTGTCATTTTCCAGCAGGGCTGCTCTGAGGGCTTCTAGACACTGGTCTCTCTTCCTCAGCCCAGTACTAGTCAAGGACATGCCACTCACTAAACACTTGTTAAATTTATGGGTTTTTGTATAATAATAGTTATATTTTGTTGCTTGCTATGTGCTAGGTACAGTGATAAAACGTTACAACTTTCATCTCATTTTTCCCTATGGGAGCGAGGTAAAGTGATGCAATGCATTTTGTTGCTGACCTTCAGGTTCCTTGTCACCATTTTTTTGGAGTGCTAGCACCAGTGACTATCTTTAGAGAACGACTTGTGAGCTACTGAAGTCACCTTGCCTGGGTGCAGAGAGCCCCTAATCCCTGGCGGGGGTGGGTTGTGGCCCTGTGCCCCCAGCTCACACCTCCCCTGTGGGACTTTGCTGGAACTCACCACCCTGCCTCCTCCCTCCCCACCCTGAGCCCCATGCCCTTGGGTCTTCCCGGGAGTTCTTTGTTGATAAATCACTTGTATATTATTCCTTGGCTCCCAGTATGCTTCTGGGGAGTCGGCTTCAGACAGGTAGGATTAATTACCACCCTTTTTCCAGAAAGGAAACGGAAGTTTGGAGGGGATAGTAACTCAACTCAGGGAACTCAGTGAGAAACTGGGGACTGGCGTTTGACTGCATGTCATCTGAGCCTATCTGGCTTCCATGTGTAAATGTGGCACATGCCCCCATACCCTAGTCCCTAGGATCTGTATGAGACTGGGGCAAGTTGGTGGTTCAGTAGCCACCATCGTAGGTTCTGAAACACAACACCGTCTGGGTAAATCTAACAATTAGATCCGTGCCTCTGTTCATGGGCCTCTCTAGTTACCTGCCATTTACCTCAGGCTCACCAAGCTCTGCAGGGGTCTGACCAGTTCCTGGGTATACATTCATTCATTAAGTCATTCATTCACTCATGCAGTCACCTACCCATCTAACCTCAACCATTCAGCTGACCCCACCCATTCATCTAATACCATCCATCCATCCATTCACCCATCCACTCATCCACTCACCCATCCAACAGAGCGCTCACGAAGGCTGCCCCCAGTAACAGTCTAGCATGGGATATGGATGTCCTAAGAAGTCAGTCATCATACCTTGTGATCTGTGCACCAGGGGAAAATGTATAAGGTACTATGTGCTCATAGGAGGGACACCTGATCCAGCCAAGCTTCCCAAGGCACCTGAACGGGGATCTGGCAGGTGAGTAGTGAAGAGAAGAGACGAAAGGGGTAGACTGTCCCAGGCAGAGAGAAGAGCAGATAGGATACGATCCAAAGGCCAGAGGCGAGTGAGTGCGTGGAAGGTTCAAAAGAAGGAAGGACATTGACCTCGCTGATCTCACGCGAGGCGAGGCAGTAAGAGATGAGGCTGGAGTAGCTAGCTGGGGCCAGACATGGGGGACCTTTGCCTGTTGAGCCAAGGAGAGAACTGGGAACTGAGAGCTGCGGGATGCCTTCAAAGGGTCTGTGAGCAGGGGGCTACCGGGAACAGACCCGCCTGGCTCAGCAAGGGGCTCTGGGAAGAAGAGGTGGGAGAAAGGCAGCCAGTGATGGGACTGCAGTTGGAGTGGGCGTGGAAGGACCGTATGCCAGGTTGGCAGTTGCCCCGTGACGCTGTTGGAGGAAGCGGGGGGAGAAGTGGGTTTGTGCCAGGATGAGAGAGAATTAGAAGTGGGTGACTGACTGGGTGTGGGAGGCAGGGAAATGGAGAGGGAGAGGATGACTGCCAGTTTCCGGCCTGTGCAGGGGGGGGACGGAGGCGGCACTGACCAAGTCACAGAGGGAGAGGATGGGCCTGGGGCATGGAGGCTGGAGGCCGTGCTCAGTTTAGGGCGGGCTGAGTCTGAGATGCCTGTGGGGATTTCAGGTGGGGTCGTTCAGAAGATACTTTGCTATCTAGGTCTGAAGGCCCAGAGAGAGACGACAAGCGCTGAGAATAAAGATGTAGGTATCTACCATCAACCCCTCGGAGTAGATGGGAAGGCCCAGGGAGGGTGTGCAGACTGAGAAGGAGTGAGCCTGCTATCTTCTGACAGATGCCCCAACGCTGACCGCCTACCTGAACAGTGGGCATCTCCCTTCCGGATTCCAGTCCGCACGTGGACCACATTCCCAGGCTGACTCCAGTCTCTGGCCAAGCACATGGGTGCATGTTCTGTCTGCATCAGGTCTTCCTGCCATGGGTTCCCTCACCCAGAGCCCACTGGGCAGCAGTTATGTGGGTCAAGCCTGGATGTGTTTCTCTGTCTACCATGGAACGGTCTCTCCTTCTGGAGGGTTCTTTTGCCTGGAGGAAGAAAGAGAGGTAGTTCTTCCCAGCATGGCTGCTCACCAGAGCGGGAGGGGAATGAGCATGCTTGTGTATTTGGAAGCTCAGGGGTTTCAGGGGTTGGCCTCCCTCCACCACTGCTTTTAGAAATGTCTTTAATTATTAAATTACTATGTGCACACTGTAAAAAAGATATACAGCTCAGAACAATAACAAAATAAATACGATAGACCCCCTGACCCTCAACCTGCCAGCGCCTATACCCTGCTCCCTAGTGACAACAATTATCTTTCCAGATTTCATACATACACACACACACACACACACACACACACACACTACGTCATGCTCACCAATTGATTTTTTTGGTTTATAAATATATACTAGACATATTTCTACATCAAAATGTATATAGCTCTACTTCCCATTTTACTTTCTTTTTTATTTTTTACTATAAAAATCATACAAGTTTATGGTAGATTCTGAATGTGGAAATTCAGAAAAATATAAAAAAAGAAAACACAAATCTGCCAGTATCCTAAAATCTCATTACCCAGAGGTGATGATTAACATCGAGGAAAACATGTAAAATTTACTTTCACTGGACAATGACAGAAGACACTAAAATTAGAAAGCACTACAGAACTTCAAGTAGATTTTTCTTCAAAATAAGAGACGTTAACCCTTGTACAGTTTTCTCTCTTTTTTTAGCTTGAATTGAGAGGTTGATGTTGTGATCTTTTCTTTTAACTATATGCTTCTTAATGGTTGTCAGTTTAGGTAGAACTTAGTCATTTCTCTTGGAAAAACCAAAAGGTACGACTTATCTCTAAACAAACAGACTAAACTCATCTGTCTACATACATATTTTCAAAAGAAAAATAGCTTTTAAAGAAGAGGCAAGCCTACTGTTACGATAGTTTGTCAAGAGAAATTACTGAAGTATTCGATCACTTTCAAAAAGAACAAACACACCGTGAGGAAATACTTGTCACTTCCTCCTGACACAAACCCAAACAGGTGATGTGTGAGCCCCAAGCATTCAGTAGTTACCTGCTTCTTCCCACATTACCTGACCAATGGCAGGTTGGCTCTGTGGGATCAGAAAGCACGATTTCCTATACCTCTTTGGTGGCTCAAAATCATGCCACACTTTAGCTCACATCTTATCTGGGCCATGACTTTCATGTACCGTTCACTGCTTTTCCCAGAGTCACTAATTACCTTTCTTTTTTTTGCGGTACACGGGCCTCTCACTGTTGTGGCCTCTCCCGTTGCGGAGTACAGGCTCCGGATGCGCAGGCTCAGCGGCCATGGCTCACGGGCCCAGCCGCTCCGCGGCGTATGGGATCCTCCCGGACCGGGGCACGAACTCGCGCCCCCTGCATCGGCAGGCGGACTCTCAACCACTGCGCCACCAGGGAAGCCCCACTAATTACCTTTCTTATCCTTGTTGCTCAGATCCTTGTTGCTCAGAAGTGCTGCATGCCTTAATTCCATGACAGTGTTTAGCATCCTAGCGTCTTCCTCAGAGGACTGGGTAATGCTGTTTTCTTCGAGGTTGTTCTTCACAGGCTCTTTTGTTTACTCGTTCTGATTGGGGCTAATTTCTCATTAGGCCAGCTACACAGCTGTGCTACTGGTATTTCTTTTCATTGTTCTCCTGGGTTAGTTCTTTTAGTTCTATGGCTTCTTGAATCTGTTGTCTTTTTCTCGGATTCTGTTTTCCTTCTGCCGGGGTACATACTCAAGGAATTTTTTCAGAAAATGTGGAGCCCCACCCTGGAGCCTGGGAGCAGTGGGTGCCAGCACGGGGGAGGGGAGGCTGGCTGTGAGTGCTCCGCATTTCCTGTTTCTCTGCAGTTTTCCCCAGCTTTGGGTGGTGACCGCTGCCGGGCTCCAGCTTTTGGTCGGCAGAGGGAGGGTGAGGCGGCGTGGACAGCGGTCCCGGGCACCCTGTGCCCTGCCGCCTGCAGCCCCACGCCCCGAGCTTGCTGCTTCTGGCCTCAGCGCGGCTGCCGCCCAGCTCGGCGAGCAGCCCAGGTGCAGGCCATCGGGTGTGTGGTGGTGGGAGACCAAGCTACAGGGCCCTCTCCTGCCCTGTCCCATCCCCTGGGAAACTTTTTATGCTTTGCTCAAACCGTGGAGCCTTCGCACTCAATGCCAAGTTTTTGTTACAGATTAGTTTTTCCATAAAACCATTTTGAACCAATCAGTAATTTCTAGGTTTTTTTTTTGTTTAAAGTGTCAGGGTTAAACAAAACTTTCAAACAACAAAACAAAACTTTCACATCCTATTAAAGTTTAGCCCTAAAATGACAAGATTTCTTAAAGCCTTATTTTTCAAAAGCCTCAATGCTTGCTCAGATTAAGAGTTGCCAAAATACCTTGTGGAACTTCCCTGGTGGCTCAGTGGTTAAGAATCTGCCTGCCAACTCAGGGGACACGGGTTCGAGCCCTGGTCCGGGAAGATCTCACATGCCGTGGAGCAACTAAGCCCACGAGCCACAATTACTGAGCCTGTGCTCTAGAGCCCGCAAGCCACAACTACTGAGCTCACGTGCCACAACTACTGAAGCACTCGCGCCTAGAGCCCGTGCTCTGCAACAAGAGAAGCCACCGCAATGAGAAGCCTGCGCACCGCAATAAAGAGTAGCCCCCGCTCACGGCAACTAGAGGAAGCCCACGTGCAGCAATGAAGACCCAGTGCAGCCAAAAATAATAAAAAACAAAAAACAAAAAAACCTTGTGAATTAAGTTGCATGGTTGGGCTGAGGACACTGAGCACTAAACTGTTGAGAGAACTTTTTCTTTAAGAAGACTGCAGCTTCTGAGGTTAGGAAATGCAGACACTTGCTAACTGGTTTCAGATATGAAGAGGGTACAGCCTCCTTCATGAAATGTTGCCATTGAATGCATCATAATTTATCTACCCATGTTCATTACTTAACATTGTATTGTATATCATAATGCATGAGTGTAACAGTTCAACTTTTCGGATCAGTCCTTTTGATTTCGTAGTGAGATTTTTTTTTTTTTAATTAGTGTATTAGCTTTTGTGAGATTTTGAACAGAACTCTTATGTCTTCCCTCTGTTGAAGTATTCTGCTCTGGCCATGGGCATGGGGGTGGGGTGTGTGGAACACTTGTGATGAAAGATTAAGGCAGTATTTTGACATTGCACATGTGTACAAAGCAATTAAACTACTGAAAGTGTCATGGGTAAAAATCTTAAAAGGTTAATTTCTGTCAAATGCAGTAGATGATGAAGAAAGGTCGGTATTATCAGTAAGTGTTTTCTCAAGCTTTTCCTTTTTTAAACCTGCCCATCCCTCCTGAAATTGGGCATTTAATTCATCTTTGACCTGGTCATTCTCAGAGTTGCTAACTTAGTAAGCTCTTTTCTTATAGAACCCCTTGTTAATGAGCAATATGCCTCCTTGTATTATAAAACCTTTCTGGATATGCATTAGAAAAAAATCTTTTTGTAGATTAGTAGAAGTGCATTCCTGTTTTCATGTTAAAAAAGAGGAAAATGTGTGTAACATAGGTGAAGTTAGAAAGCTAGTAAATCCGAGTCCTTGAATATTTAAAAATGTCTTTACTGTGCCTTTGCACGTAAATAAGAGATTCCACATGATTTCCTTTCAGGATGCTGTAGACACTGTTCTGTTGCCTTCTAGAAAGTTCTATTGTATATGAAAAAATCTAATGCTAGTTTGCTATTTCTTTTTAGATACTTTGCATTCTTTCCTGAAGTTTTAAGATTTCCTCTTGATGGTTGGACTTCAGAAACTTCCCCAGTTTGTTGCAAATTGTGTGTCTTTTTTCACTGCACCTGCTCTGTACTTGGTGAGAATAGTAGATGGCTACTGCTTTTCTGTCTGGCCTGCTTCCTTTTCCCTTGGGAACTGCCACTAAGTCACTCACTCCATGTAACTTCTGTTAATGAAGGGGCCCTCCTTTCCTGACCTGGGGCGGCCAATCAGAGAGTTCCTTCTCTCCAGCCAGGAGGTTGGTTCAGGGATGGACATGTGACCCTTGGGCCAATCACAGGCCAATCAGAGTACCTTTTAGAGATGATTTAGATGCTGAGAAAGAGAGAATTATGATCTTTTCTCTGGGTTTGGTACAAGGATGAAGTAAGACTGGAGCTTCTGAAGTCTTTCTTAGCTACTATATCTAGAGAGCCTGTCTGGGTGTGAACCCAAGCCAGGGAAGTCAGAGAGGAGGGTGGAGAGCCAAAGAGAGCAAGGGAGAGAGAGAATGAGTGAATGAATGATTTTTGAATTGTGAACCTCTGGATACAGGTGAGACTGAAGTCATATCAGACAACACATTCAGGTTTTTTTTCTTTACACAATTTGATTTGGGTTTCCATCATTGGTAAACAAAGGAATCTTGATAATATAGTGATCCCTTTTAACCAAAAAATCCCTGTCTTTCATGAGCTATTTGATTAGCCCTTGCCTTTCATGGCTTCAATTATCTCCTGAAATTCCTATTAGTTGCATACTGGATTTCTCGGATCTAGCCTCCATCTTCTTTCATCTTTCCTTATCTTAAAAGCCACTCTGACATTTTAATATATATTCTGAGACATTTCCTAGACTTTATTGTCTGATTTGGTTTTTCATTCTATTATCCAGCCCTTTTATTTTTATTAAGCTTTTCATTTCAGCCAATGTGTTTCTCATTCTAAGAACTTTTTAATTCTCTGCTTGTCCCCCCAACTTTTTTTCATAGCAAGCTGCTTTTGTTTTATGGATGCAACATCCATTTCTTTTCTGTTTGCTGCATCATCTCTGTTTTCCCTCTTCAGTTGCTCTGCTCACCTTGATCTTTCTCTTTTCTGTGGTTTGTTTTCCTCAAAACTTGGTAATTCTCAGGTATCCATTAGAGTGTGTGAATAAAAAACCAGATTGATCAGTACTGGCTCAGATGGGACTTTCCTCTGTGTGGGTATATGGTTATAGAGATCTTCTGGAATAGGCCTCTTTCCTAAATGGGTCTGGGGTCCTGGTAGTGTCTGGGTGAGGCTTGCTGACAGGGAGCAGAAATGCAAGCTCATGACTTGCCACCATTGCTGAAGTAAGATGACTTTCCTCTGAGCATGGAAAGCCTTAGTTAGAGGGATTTCGATATATGAGATCCTGAAAATCCTTAAATTCTTCAAAATTGCACATCAAAAAGAATAGAACTAATGAGTAAAATAGGGGTAGGAATAAGCTACTCAAAAGTCATGCCACATTATCATCAGACCATCCACAAAAGTAATAGCAACCCTAATTGAAATACCCAGAGAACATGGAGTACTGTGTAATAAACCCTCCCAAGACAACGCAGTGACCGTTAAGAGTGTGGGTACATGTGACTGCGTCTTGAGCTGTGTGCTTCTGGGTTCAGCTTGCATTGCATTCAGCTGCTGTTCCTTGGTGGCACAACACATAGTATGCAGGGAAAAATCACATCTGAACCAATGCAACCTCCACGTTGTACTGACATCATGATCCCATGTATCAATCATGGATGTGCTAATGCAGATACAGAGACACACATCGTAGTAGAACAGACCATGTTTTTTTTCCCTCTACGGAATCTCTGTCCTTCATTTTTTTCCTCTGAGTCTGTGGAGGAGGTCAGGAAGGGCAAGTCTACAGAAATGCCTGCAGAATCCCCATTTTGAGTGTTTTTGACTTTTTCCTGGGGTTGAATGCCAAGGCCAGTGGTTCTGTACTTTTAAGAAGCGGCTGGAACAACTGGTCCAGGTATGCATCCAGCAGTTTCAATTGCCCCAAGGCCTCCTTGTTTTTGTTGCTATTTCTCTGAGGCTCTGGCTTCAGTGACAAGTCTCTCCTCGTCCTACAATGAGGGATGGTTTCCCTCCTCTAGTTTCTTATCTGTTGGATCCCATATTCCTGCTACCTTGCAGAAATTCTTCCACATTTCTGGTCCACTGACAGCATCTTTTCTTATTTTCTAATATGAATTTACTCTTTCTCTTAATATCTTTCCTTCCCGACAGGATTTTGGTACGGAGCGAAGTTAATTTCTGTGTACTCAGTCTACATGTCAAATTGGGAATTCTCTCCACCACTTTTTGTCCTTTTGACTTTTGCCAAGGCTTTTCACAATTTTGAGATTCAGTTTATTTTTCGGGAAATGGGAATGATAGTAATATCAGTCCTGCCTACCTTCCAGGGATTGGGAAAGGATGAAGGGACACAGGAGTCATCTATGAACAAAAGAAGCAGCATAAATTTAAGTTGTTATTAGCTCATGGAAGAGAACCCCTTAATTTGGCAGATGAGAAAATGAAGCCAAGAGATGGGAAGTAATTTTGGCCCAAGGTTACCCAGAAACCTCCAGCCTCTTGGCTACCTGGCCCCATTTTCTTTCCAGGCCCTTTTACTCCGCAGCCTGCAAACGGCCAGGGCTGCAGTGCTGGGGGCAGAGCTATGGAGACTTCTGAAGAGGCCGAGTTGGCATGAATAATTCAATGATTGCCGACCACGGGCCATTAAATTTTCCATGATCTGTTTTATTGTATCTGCTCTGCAGCATTACGCACTTCCAGTTCAGACACAAAGCAGGCATTTCACGGTGCCTACAGCTGGCCACTCCTCCCTCTCAGGGATCCAAGACCACGGAAGCGTTAGCCTTGGGCCCAGCTGGGCCTCTATCCGTAAAGGCGGCCAAACAGAGGTTCCCATCACTGAGGCCTGAGTGTCAAGCTTCTCTCCTCCAGCTCCTGGTACTCACTGAGCCTCCAGGAGCACGTGGCTCTCACCTTCAAGTTCAGTATCCACTCACAAATGACCTCCACTTAAGATTCTCACTGCTGTCACTGGTGGTTAGCAAAAACGTAGTGGGTTGGGTGGGGTGAGAGGGTAAAAGGATTAATTTCTTCCATGTAAGCATTAAAGGGCACCGTCATTTTTGTAACTCTGTTTTGGTATTTTTGCGTTTCTTTATATACTGTGAGCCTCAAAATCTGGCAGTGGTTTTGGCCTCATGTAACTTCTGTGAAACGTCATGGATCTTCAGCTCCAGGATCGTGCTATGCAGAATCCTAAATGTGGTGGGGACTCCCTTACACATGAAGAAACAGGCTCAGAGAAGGAGGTGGACTTGGGCAGAGACTCAGCCAGCTGGTGGCAGGGGGAGCCCAGGACCAGGCGTCGGGACTCTCAGACCAGAACCCTTCCCTGGGTATGGGTCTTGGGAGGGAGAACTTCCCCCACCCCGACCATTGGATCATCATCTCTGTTCTTCAGGGTCACTGTGGCTTCTCAGATTTTTCCGTAGAACGGCTCACTTTCCCTAGTGTCCTGAGAACCACACACTTTCCTCAGATAGTATTTCCAAGCATGCCTCCCACCCACAGCAAGGCAGAGAGCAAAAAGGAAGAACCAGTTACTGCAGGTGAGATTCTCCCCACTGTCTGTGGTTCAGGAAGTTTGGCCAACAGACATGGCCTCATCTTTGCCATTCCATTCACTGACAAGATAACAGGGGGCAGGACAGTGCATGAAGCCAGACAAAAGCTAGAGGGAAGAGAACTTGAATCGCCTAAGAGTCCCCAGTGTTCAGTGAAGTGTGGTAGAAAGAACACAGGATGTGTGTCCCGTGGGCTGGCTCCAAATTCCAGAATTAGTTATGGGCGTAAGAGAAATCACATCCCCTCTCTGAATCTCAGTGTCCTCACACTTGAAGTGGGGATGCCAAATCCGAATCCATGGGATTTTTGTGAGGCTCTATAGTAATGACAGTTTTGAGCTGCCAAAGTCCTTTTGGCATCTCCGTCAATTAACCATTGCTATCTAACAAACCGCTCCAAGCAAAACCTGATGGCTTAAAGCAATCATTCATTATCACTCAAGACTCTACAGGTTCACAGGCACTCATCTCATCTCACCTGTGGTCAGCTGCAGTTGGGTAGCTCTGCTGATGTAGGCTGGACACCCTCACGTGTGGGACCACTTGGTTATGAGCTGGTCTAGGGTGGGACGCCTCAGCTCTCGCCCTCCAGCAGGCTAGCTCGGGTTAGTTCATGTGGCAGGCGTCCGGTACTAAGAGAAAGCCCAGAAGCACACAGGCCTATTGAGGGTTGTACTTGAAACCCACACACTGTCACTTCTGCCACATCCTCTTGGCCAAAACAAGTCACAAGGCCAGCCCAGATTCAAGGTGGGGTGGGGGCTGGATCCACTTCTTGGAGGGAGGAGCTGCAAGGTCACGTTGCAAAGAATGTGGATACAGGGAAGGGTGCAGTATTGTGGGCAACCGTCAATCAAATCTACACGATCCTCAGGGCCACATTCTTCTTAAGGGGGCTCAAGATGGACCGAGATAGGTACAGTACGACAGTGCTGGGTGTGATTTTCAAGACAAGGGAAGTGGCTTGTCCAAGGCCACACAGTTGGGGAGTGGCAGAGTTGGTGTGAGAACCCAGGACTTTCAGAGTCAAGCGCCATATGTCAAAACCAGCCTTGGTGCTGTTTCTTCTTTTGAATTTGCTCTGCGGAAAACCCAGTAGATGGTGATTTGGGAGTGTCTACATGTGTGTTCCTCTTTTTTCTTGTTGCAATTTTAAAAGGTCAAGGAGGGCCTGAGATTAGACTTCCTGGCTCTCCCTTCTGGAAGGAAACCCTGAGGAAGAAGGACAGGCCCCAGAATGAGACCTAGATTCAGATTCCAAGGCTCGAAGAACTTCTCCACTGCAACTTTCTTTCTCCTTTTAGAGAAGCGCACAGAGAATTTTTATCTCTTGTCCCTGGGCTTCTCAAGCCTGTGACCCCACCCTAGTGAAGAAAGACCCTCATCCCCTGTCATCAAGACAATTGCTACAGCTTCCTAACGGGACTTCTTACCTTCAGACTCACCTCCCACTCTGCTGTCCCAAATCCATCTTGCCAATGGTGCCTAAGTAATCTTTCAGATACTTGGCTCTGACTGTGACATCCCACTGGGGAGAATATCTTCCAGGAGAGTGTGTTCTTAAGCATGAGCTTAGGAACTGGGCAGATCCAGGGTTTTTTTGTTTTTCTTTTTTTGGCCTCGCCGTACGGCATTTGGGATCTTAGTTCCCCAACCAGGGATCGAACCCATGCCCCCAGCACTGGGAGCGTGGAGTCTTAACCACTGGATCACCAGGGAAGTCCCTCAGATCCAAGTTCGAATGTAAGCTCTGACATTTATTAGAGCTGAGTGAATTTGGACAAACTATTTCAGTGCTCTGAGCCTCAGTTTCTTCATCTGTAATATGGGCTTTACAACATCTCACTGGGTTTTGTCAACATTGAATGTGAAGTCTTAGCAAAGTCACTGGTACATAGCAAGTGCTCAAGAAATGGTAACTGATTTTATAATACTACTGCTGTCATTATTTCATGGTTCCCCATGGCTGTGAGATTCAGACAGGTAGCCTGACATCCAAGGCTCTCCATGAGACCCCAGCTGCCTCTCCAAGCTCACCTTCACTCTTGTGTGAGCCCTGTGTGATCCCTCCGCTCCAGTTTAATGAATTCCTCATTGTATCCTGAGGATGGCATCTACCTTCCCACCTCAACAGCTTCGTTCACGCCATCCTACCTCTCCTCAGAGGTTTTGATGCTGCCTTTCCTCTTATCCTAATCCTGTCATCCTACAAAGGCTAGCACAAGCCCTCCTCCTCCAAGAAGTCTCCCCTGACCACCTCAGCCCCCAGGGGTGCTCCCTTCTCTCACCTCTACCTAATTCCTCTCTGTGGTGCTCCATTTCCTACAGAGTCTGTGCTGGTTTGCTAACTGTTCCAGCTACTCTAGCTGCATCATTTTATTATCTCCTGGTTGTGGTGGGGCAGAAATTCAGGAAGGGCTTGTCTGGGTGATTCTGGCTCTGGATCCTTCTGTGGTTTTTGTCACAAGCTTACTAGACCTGCAATAGCTGAGGCTGGAGTATCTGGAGGCTGGCCAAGCATCTCTCATTTCCTGGGATTTGGGGGCTTTTCCAGGTGGACTCTGTATGTGGGCTAGATTGGGCTTCCTCAGAACGTGGTGGTATCAGAGCAGTCTGACTGCTTCCATGGAGGTTGAGCTATTGTGTGAGCAAGGTGGAGACTGGGTCCTTTTCTATGACCTTTGTCAGAAGTTACGGAGTGGCTTCTGCTGTATTCTATCAGTTGAACCAGTCACAAAACCCTGCCCAGTTTCAAAGGAGAGGGAACACAGACTCCACCGCTTACCTGGGCCCTCCACTGCCTGCCTGTGTAACTGGGCAAGTTCATTTACTGTGCTGTAGCCTCAGTTTCCTTCTCTGTAAAATGGGGATCACAGCAGTCCCTACCTCCTGGGGTAGTTGTGAGGATCAAGTGAGTTAATGTAGGAAAAGCACCTAGAAGTGCCGTATCACTGTCTGCTGGTACCATGACTGATGTCGTTAGTATTGTCAATTACAATCAATATTTAGTGATCGATTAGAGAAACCTTTCAAGGTGCGGAAGAGTAAAACATCATCACTTATATAGTCCTGAATGATTGTGGCATTGTTCGATGTTCTATGGGGCCCCGGGGGAGACTGAATATCTACTCATAGATCCAATTCCTCCGTTATAGCCCGAGATGTTGACTCTGGAAATCCAAAGTCAGGAAAACACATGAGGAGCCTGGGACATGGGGCAAATTAAACACCAACACACTTCTTCCTCCTCTTCATCATCATATCATCAAACCTGTGGGGTTTGAGGCCCCAGCAAGTACTTTTATTGCTCATCAAAGCCAGATGGACTTCCAAAACCCTGGACAGAAGTACAGGGGACCACATATAGCCCCACACCGCACTCCAGAAACAACCCTTGAGCTCTGAAAACACAGCTTGCACAAGCAGTACTTGCGTCTGTGAAAACACTGTTGCTTCCTTTTCCTCCGAGCAGTGGGCCAGGACACTGTGTAGAACAGCAAGATGCTGGGGTTTCACTGGGATCCCTCACATCCCTTTTTTCCATGTTTGGCTAGCCTCTGCGTTCATCCTCCAGCAGCTCTTTTTTCAGAGGTTAGCAGAGAGCCAGAAGCGCCTGGGAATTTAAGTCCCCCACTGGTAGCTCTTGATTGATGATGGATGGTGGGGATGTATGGAAACCGAGCTCTCTTGTGTGGGCTGGAATAACTCTGGAGAGCGACTCACATGGCGGAGTTCCCTGCGGGATCAGGCTGAGGCTACCCTCTGCAGGGCTCTGCCAAGGTCGTGCTCCGCTCTGGTTTGGTTTCCTCCCCACCCTGTGCCGCTTCCTCCAATCCTTGACGGATTCCTCCTGTGAGGGCTGCCCTAATGAATTGCCTTCCCATGACTCCTCATCTCAGGGGCTGCTTGTGGAGAACGTGAGCCGAGACAGAGGATGCACAGGGCCCTGAGGGAGGGAGACAGTCGTGGGCTGCACCTGCTGTGGGAGGCTGCTCGCCCCCGGCCCTGGTGTTTCTGTAGGGTCTTAGCACCTGCAGCCTCTTTGTTCTCCAGGAACGATGCCTTCCCAGGTGTTGAGTGGTGACCTGTTTTCACACCAGATCTAGTTTATATGCTCAGAGCTACTTAGTCCTGCCATGCCTCCCGGCCTTGGCATGTGCTCAGTGGAAAATCCCAGCACCTTATTCTTCAGACCACCTGCCGTCTCAGCCTGCCCCCAGCGTGAGGGTCTGGCTTTGACATGAACCCCGTCATGCCCACTGTGGCGGGAGCCGTGGTGGCTCTGGTGTCCGCTGAGTGGACCCACCCTCTGGTGGAACAGGTCCTGTCACTCTGAGCTCAGATGAAGTGCTGTGCCATGGGGTGTAGGATCTCGCTTTCCCAGAGGCGGCTTGGAAAGCTCCAATGCAACCCAAACTTGCAGGGGAGTGTTAGCTTTCTGTAGAGCTAACCTTGGCCTTCGGGAGACAGGAGATGGGTAGGAACCAGAAGATAAAGCCCTCCTGTCTTGCCCCCAGTGGCCTGTTCCCAGGCTCAGTGATTCCACACATGCAAGCCACACGACGTGGCTGAGAAACACTGTGAAGAGCTGTGGCTAGCTCAGCTACACCCCACCTTGCATTGCTTTTCCTCCTTCCCATGTTTTCTTCACTCTCGCTCCCTGGGGGTCGCATCTCTCAAGAAAGCCTTAGCTCACTCCCATGGCTGCCATTTGATGTTGGCTCTCGGCTGAGACCTTGGCTGGGGCTGTCCACCCGAGTCGTCACACGGGGCCTCTCCACATGCTTGGGCTTCTCACAGAATGGGGTTCCGAGAGGCTGCACCCTGAGACCAAGAAATCCCGGCAGAACCCGCAAGGCCTCTCGTGGCTTAGCTGCAGGAGTCCTGACACGTCACTTCCACTGCATCCTAGTGATCTGTTATTTGGTGAAGCAAGTCCCTAAGGCCAGCCTAGATTGAAGGATTACGTTTCACCTTTTGATGGAAGAAGAAGCAAACAATTGTAGCCATCTTTAGTCCACCACAGTGAGATGCTGCACAGAAAGCACGGTATCCGGCGTGATGAGTGTTCGGTAAATGTTAGTTTTGGGTTTGGCCCCTTCCTGCATTCATTCAACACGTGTCCAGCTCAGGAGAGGCCAGTTCCGTCTGTCCATCAGCTTCTCCTCAGCCTTCCCAGGCGGTTGTCAGTGTGCACAAGCGACAGGCAGGCAGGGCGACAGCTCTGAGCCATCCAAATTGGAATGTAGCTGGATGCGGCAGATAAATCTAGGAGACTGGGTTTCTGGCTCTAATTGCGCCACTAAGTTTTTGAGTCGTCTTGAGCGAGTCCATTGCCCTCTCCGGACTCAGTGTCCCCATTTATCAAATGGGGGTTTGGACTAGATGAGCTCTAAGGCCCTTTCTGGCCCTGCTGTTTGAAGATTTTGCCGATGCAATGCATTGTTCCTCAGCGCTCAGAAAATGATGGCCAGGATGTGGGGCTTGATGTTTTCTCTATCCTCACTGCAGGGACTGTCCCGATTCTCAGCTTTGGTGTCACACCTGGGCCCTAAA